TGCCTGTCTTCTCTTACATCTGCATCTGAATCCCACTCATCCTGGGGGAGTCCTCTATATATGACTGAATACAAGAGCCCCTTCTCTAGGAAGCCTTCCCTGATGTCCTCAGTGAATTGGTCTCCTCCATGCTTTTGTCTTCATTTCTGGGTTCCCTCTCTCCTCTTTCTCCCTTCTCTCCTTACCTCTCTGTCTCTGTCTTTGTATCTCTTTGTCCTGTCCTTGTCTCTTTCTGTCACTTTTTCTTGGTGTCTCTTCTTCCCTCTCTCCCTACTGTTGTCTGTGTGTCTCTTACTGCCTGTCTCTGGGCCCCTTTCTCCTTCTCTCCACATTGTCTTTCTGCTCCCCATCTGGTCCTGAAGCTCTCTTCCTCCTCCATGCCCCTTTCTGTGAGTGTCTCTCTGCTCTTCTCCCTACCTCTCTCTCTCTCTCTCTCTGTCTCCTCTCTCCCTCTCTTTGTCTGCATGGCTGTGTGTGCCCCAACCCCCCCACCCCATAGTCCTCCCTCTGTTTCCTCCTCTTCTCATCCACAAGGCCTCAGCAGATGAAATGGAACGTATCTTCCTGCAGAGAGCTGGCCAAAGAACAGCTGTCAGTGCTGGAAGGGGCTGCTGAGCCGTGGCCAGGAGACCTGGGGAGCCTGGGCAAGCCTTGCAGGCTGAGCCCCAACATTGTGGGGCCCCTTTGGAGACTTTCCATGACTTTCCCTGCAGGTTCCAGGATAGGTGTGGCACCTATTTCAGGATTTCTGACCTTGGAGGCAAGCATAGTTTCTGTCTGCCAGCTCCTGGGGACAGCATGCACTGGGCCCTGACTCAGGGGCTGGTCCAAGGGCCAAATTCCTGGGGTTGGTAGAATCTGGAGGAGTACCACCAAGGGGCAGGGCTGAGTTACAAGAAGAGGAGATCCATGAGCTCAGGTCTCCTGGGGATAGGATGAGATCATGGAAAGGATATGGAGTAACAGGTTTTTTCACTCATTCATTCAACACACATTCACAAAGCCACTGCCACATGCCAGACTTGAGTTTACCTGTAGGGATAAAGATGAATCAGGCGTGACCCCTGTCCTCAAAAAGCTCTTAGATCCCCCTCAGGTGGCTGGATGGAAGCACGTTCTGACAAAGTCAGCTCTGGGGTGTGAACTAGAGAGAACAAGGAGAGCAATTTCTGCAGTGATTCAGGCAGAAGGTGATGGTGACCCAGGCCAGAGTCAAGCACCTTTAGGAGGTCACATCAGGGGGCCTCTGGGAAGTGATTGTATGAAGGTGAGGAGAGAGAAGAATCAAGATGGGACCTATTTAGGTTGAATAGCAGAGCCTGGTTGAGACACAAGACATTCTTGCAGAGAAGGATGAGTTGGATTCTACAGGTTCTGAGGATGTTTAGGTGGAGATGTCCAGTAGGTCACTGGACAAATGCATCTGGGTGAAGGTGGCAGTTCTAGAGTGGTCAGCATTGTGTGGTTACTGAAACCATCAGGGTGGATGATCTGTCTGTGGTTGAGAAGAAGGCCAAGGGCATGGTTCCCAGGGCTCCCACAGTGACTAGACAGGCGAAAGAGGAGCCCTCCAGGAAGACAGATGGGGGGCAGTGAGAGAAGTACGGAGAGAACCAGGATGGAATGGAGTCATGAGCACCGGGGCAGTTGCAAGTGTTGCCAACCCAGCTATGGGGTGCTGTGAAACCAAGCCCGGAGAGGGCAGGGTGGTAGAAACATGGGCTGGGGAGTGCAGGAACTGCATTACACAGTTCTAGGGCACAGGTCACATGGGAATGGCGCCTCCTGGAGTTGTGCAAGGAGTAGCCACCTAGATGGAGGTGACCATTCTCCCTGCCCTGGCAGAGGGAAAGGAAGGTGAGTAGCTTAGAGAAGGAGAGAATGGGAATTGGAAGGATTATTCCTAACTGGTTTCATTTTCTCAAAGCATCTAAAGTCTTCTGTTTGGGGTCTTACAGAGAACAATAAAGGTCTGCCATGGTTGAGGTTGAGGGGATGGACAGGAGCGCTGGCCAGACATGTGAACCATTGCCACGCAGTGCTCAAGATCCAGCGGGCGTCCTGTGAGGCCTGCACTGTCGGCCGGGCTGGGGCCTGGGCCCTCTAAGTGTCTCCTCTACTCAGCCCCAGAAATGCTCCTTTTGGAGCAGCCACACAGCAGTCAGTAAATATCTGCTGCTGCTCCAGTACAGCCCAAGGCAGGGCTGTTTTCCCTGGCGACCCTTGAAATCCTCTGGGCAGATGCAAGGACCACTGTTGGGCCGGGAGGCCTTGTCTTCGAACAGGTCTCCTTGGAGGCAGAAAAGGAATTGCCTTTGCTGCCAGGAGTAGAGTCCAAGAGCTGCTGGCAGAGAGTTCCTCCATCCTGTGTGCCGGAGGCTGCCTCTCCCCGTCCCTCTCCAGCCTTGTGGTTCTGTAGGGAAAGGCAAGAGTGGGGATGACCCCAGCCCTGCCAGAGGCTGTCTCCAGCCCATCACTCAGTACTGCACTCTGGGCTTTTCCAAGGGACACCCACTTCTTCTGCCTTGTTAGGGCTTTACAGTTGCCCCAAGGAGTAGGTCAAAGAACTATAGGCCCATTTGACACACAAGAAAACTGAGACTGGTGGCAGGGAAGCCATTTGCTTAGGATCACAGGCTGAAGGGCAGACTGAGAGCCTTGGCAGGGCCTGGATCTTTTGTCCTCAATAGCACTAGGTCAGGGCCAGAGCTCTGGAAGGGCCTGTTCATGCCTGTGCTACCCATGCCTCTTCGCAGGTAGCTTCCAAAATGTGCCTCGTTCACCCCCTAGTCATTGCACATGCTGTTCCCCCTACCTGGAACAGCCTCCCAGTTCCCTGCCTGGAACTGTGCCACCCACTCCCATCCTCACCTTGATAACTCTTATCCCACCCTGCAGCTAGCAGTGCTCCCGCCAGGAAGTCTGCTCGATCCTAGGCTGGCTTAGAGGCCTCCTGTGTGCCCTCACAGCCTCCTGTGTGAACAGTTCCCTCTCCATCAAACTTAGTGCCCAGATTACAGGATTCCCATTCTCAAGTCTGTGAGTGCCTGGAAAAGGACGCTGTCTCTTCATCACTACCCAGCACAAGATATGCACCCAGGCAGTGTTCATTAAATGAATGAAATGAATTAATGAACACTGGGAAAGGAAATAAGAGAGGGAGGTATCTTTTCATAAGGGTCTCTGCAATGAGACAAAAACCTTCCTGATAGGCTCTGAGAGCCAGAAGAGCCCATAGATATTATGCATAGCAAGAAACTGAGGGCATTAGAGGGTAATAGGCTCACCCGAGGTCTCAGAGTAAGTGTGGTGGATGCCGGACTAGAGTCCTATGACATTCCAAGCCCAGTGACCTTTCCCAGTGATCCTCAAGTGAAACTTCAGAGAGGCAGGGTCAACCAGCCATGTGGCACATAGTCAGGCATGGTCAGCCAGGCCCAAGGTACCTCCAGATGCTCTGGCAGGGCATGGTCAGCAAGAGGGAGATCACAGGGCTGGGAGACTTCCTGAGGAGTTGTGAAACCAGCCCAGGGGTGTGCGAAGCTGGTGGAGCAGGACAGTGTCATGGTTGGTTCTCTGCTCCAGCCATTATGCAGTCCTACGCTGGCTTCCTCTGCCAGAGCATCTCTGTTCCCCAACAGCCTGTCCACTTTCTATTCTCCTAGACCTCCCTGGGGCTGTCAGCATGCTAACCTTCTGGCTTCCACCTGTCACCACCATTCACAGCAATTAGAGGAATAGTGCAGGGATCTCCCCTACCGTCTGGGATGAACAGGGAGCAGGAGGGGAGAGTGCTTCCCGAATGAGTGGGGCCACAGGGCAGGCCCATGGCAGGAGGGGCCCAGGGGCCCTGAACAAGCACCCAATGTCCACATTGAGCAGGTGAGGGAGACTGAGGCCCCCAAGGCAGAGGGACGTCCCAGAGTGCTGACTCCCAGCAGCTCCTGTGTCCATAGCCACTGGGCTTCCTGAGGGTTCTTCCCAACCAGAGCCCAGGAGAGGCTCCCCTGACTACTCAGACATCAAACCTGCATTCCAACACAGGAAGACGATTTCCACTCCCATCTGGGGCTTTCTACTAAATTGCCCATTTCTGTATTCACTGTGCCTAGTGCAGAACTGACCACAGAGCAAGGGTGTCATGAATGTTTGCTGAATGAATGAATAGTGAGTAGGGGACTGAGATGGAGGCCAGCCCCTCTCCCCACACATACCTCTGGAGGGTTCAGTTCTGTGTTTGTGCCTCCTCTAGGTCATTGTCACTGTCTGCCAGGCCCTGCAATCAGTGGGGGTTTTTGGTTGCCCCCGCTGGGATCTTACATCTCAATGAGTCCCAGGACCTGGCCCATAGTGTGTTCTCCACAAATGTTGGGCAATGAATCTGTGACTCCAGCCAGTAGGTGCTGAGCCTGTGCAGGGCAGTGGAGATGCCATCTCTGCTCTCTGGGAGCTGAGTGAGGAGGCCCACATGAACACACAGAATCCCACTCCCATGCTAAAGGAGGGAGGCCTGAGTTTCTGGTAGAACTTACCAAGATGAGCCATAGACCTGCTGGGGACTTGAGGATTCCTTGGAGCTGGGCTTTGAGTGACTGCTGGAGGCTGTCCCAGCCTGGACAGTTGGGGGCTGGGGTCAGCTTCATGGTATGAGGCACAGAGGTGCACCAGGAAGCACGGAGAGCCCTTACTACGTGCGGGTAGCTGTTTCTTGTAATCCTCACAGCAAGCCTGGATGTTACTATTATACCCCATTCTCACTTTGCAGATGAGGAAACTGAGGCATGGTGAGATACAGTTAATGAGCGGCAGAGCCAGGATTTGAACCCAGGCACCAGGACCATGTCTTACCTTCTATGCCATACTGCCTCTCAGGGAGTCTGGGGCATTGACTTTGGTGTAGGTCACTGGCCCAGACACAAACTTAGGGGAAAGCCTGGGACAGTCCCCTATGGCCGGTGGCCTGGCATGTGACTGAGCCCCTTTTGTCGCTTGTGTTCCAGGTCACTTTCTGGGGAACAACACAGTCATCGACATCCTGCGGCAGGCAGGGCTGGAGGTGGACCACACACCCGCCGGGCAGGCCATACACAGGTAAGCCACTGGGGCATCTGGGGGTGCCTTGGCCCTGACTGACCCTGCCTTCCTGCCCAGGCTTTCAGGAGAGCTGTGAAGAAGCTTCTGGTGAGGTAGGGGCAGATCTCTACCAGGAAGCAAGAATGGAAAGGCTGGGCTGGAGGCAGGAGATTGGGAAGGAGCTGGTGAGCCGTCTTGGCTGGAGGTGACAGCAGGGCCAGAGCATGGGTGGGAGTGGGAGCAGCGTTAGGACTGGAGAGGTGCTTAGGATTTAGAGATGGTGGGTTGGGTTGGGGGTAGAGGGACTCAGAAGAACTCCTGGGTGTTGCTTAGAAGACTCTGTGGCTGCCCTGGCTCTGAAGCGAGATGGTACTGGGAGGATGGGCAGGGCCCTGGTCTCTTTTCTGGGTCACAGTCCCACTCTGTGGCAGCCCCGCTGCCCCACCCACTCCTGGTCCTCACCTTCTCTGTTGCTGTCTCTGGCTACACCCCTCACCCCTAACTCTCCTGCCAGGGCATACCCACCCTGCTCAAACAGCCACTAGTGGCCATCCGCTATTCCTGCCAGATCTTCCAACCCCCGTCCCCACAATCTGGAAGCTGCCCGAGGGCAGGGACCAGCTCAGTCCATCTGTGGTTCCACAGCACCAGCAGCAGGCTGGGCATGAGAGCTGTCAGCGAGAGCCAGGCTCTGGGTCCCGGGGAGCCCCAGAGGTCGGTGACAGCATCCTCAGACTACAGGTTTCCATGCAGCCCGTGCTCCAGCATAAAGACCTGGAGTTTGAAGGAAGCTTGGATCCTCATAGCCAATATTTATTAACTGCTCACTCCATACCAGGCTCTAAGATCTTTTAACTCATTTAATCTGCATAACAATCCTGTGAGGTCAGAGCTATGAGTTTCCCCACCTTATCGTTGAGGAACATGAGGCCCAGAGAGGTGAAGTCACTTGCAGAAGGACAAACAGCAGTGTAAGTGGCAGTCCGGCTCTAGGGCCTCCCTCAACTCCTATTACTCCCTGTACCAGCTCTGAGTGTGAACCGAGGTCTCAATAAACCCTCACATTGGGATGTCATCCCAGTCTCCCACCTCTTCTCATCTTCTGAGTCAAACTGTCAAGGCTGCTGTTCCTGCCTGAACCGTTTGAGTCCAGCACACATTAGTTTGTATTGGGGCAAACGTGTTGGAGGGGTGGGGATTCCAAGGTAGCCTCAGGGACAAAGCCTTCTTCAAGTTCCCCTCCTCTCCCCTCACCACAGCCCGCACCCCAGCAGCCCCAAGGACCTTCCCCTTAAAGCTCATTGTGTCTGTTCTGGCCAGGGCAGGGGAGGCAGGCAGGCCAGTGAGGCTAGCGAGCCTCCTATTCATCTCAGAGCCCAGGCATTCGGGGAGGGGGCCCCCACAGCTCCCCCATGGGCTCTGCTCCAAGGACTCTCAGCCTTAGCCTCCTGCACGGGGGAGCAAGGGAGCTGGCAGGGCGGAGGGGGGTGGGGATGCTGAGGAGGCTCCAACAATAAAAGCCATCATCGGCCACAGGTGCTTCCTGGATCTAGTTTTTTGTCTGACTGTTTTGAATTATCTCCCCAGCAGCTGCGGCATCTCCAGGCAGCCTGAACCCTGAGAATCTGGGGTTGCCATGGGGGTAGGGGAGGAGAGGCTGAGCTGATGGCCTTCTTTCCTTCAAAGACAGAAGCTCCTCACCCATCGTGCTGTATGAGAGTGGGCTGGGAAGACAGCCTGCCTGCTGTCTTGGGTACTGCCTAACCTTGCAAGCTGCCCACTCAGCCACAATTCCTGAAACCGTTCCCAACCTTCTCCCAGGGTCACATGTCCCTAAAACAAATTCTGTTGGGCCATGGCTAAATGACACTTTAGCACCTACCTGACAGCCAGGTCTATTTGCTTGTTGGCCAACATCCAAGACAGGCTTATGTGCCAGGCACTGTGTTAAGACCTTGTCTCATTCATCCTCATGACAACCCCATGAAGTAGGCAGTATTATTACTCTTGTGCTATAGCTCATTACTGCTTGAGACCATTAAGTAACTTGCCCTTCATCACACGGCCTGCAGGTTGTGGAGCCGGGCTGTGGACCCACATCAGTCTACCTCCAGCTCAAACTCTGACTACTTAACACTGTCCTTGCTCCACTAAAAAGGTGCATAGGAAATGTGTATTGAATGTATGAATGGAAGGTTTGATGAATAAACCACACACACAATGCTAATAATATTAATTACTTAAATGTTTTGGCTGCTTACTATTTGACAGACACTGTTCTCGGTGCTTTGCCAGTGTTCACCATCATAATCCTGATGAAGCACCCTGTGAGGTACAGGCTGCAACACCCCCATTTCACAGAGTAGGAGACTGAGGTACAGTGAGGTTAGTTAACTCACCTAAAGTCTCAGCCAGAGTTGTTGAATAAATGAGACCCTGACCAAGCTCAGATATGCCCCAGAGACCTGCCCAGGGCTCACTCCCTCACCTCTTCCTAGTCTGGGCGCAAATATCACCTGCTGGTGACCAGACCGCCTTCCTGAGCAGCACCCTTCACCCCCACTCTCACACCTGTCTCTGTTTCCTTTGCTCCTCAGCAGTTGGCAGTGTCTGACATCCCCTGTTTTACTGTCTGTCTTCTGCTTTGGAATGTAAGGCATTGTCTGTTTCCATCATGCTGACACCCGCCTCTGAAAAAAGTGCCTGGGACAGGGTTGGCACTCAGTAAATAACCGTCGACTCAACAAATGAAAGCATGACTCAAAGCAGTGAGTCAAAGCAAATGAAAGCATCACTCAGTGCCAGACAAGGTTTTCCTGGGTTGCTGTCACCGGGCCCAGGAGGGGCACCCTGGCACTTTCTCCTGCCATGACAAACTCCCACTGAATTGGATTGTACTCCCTGCCACATATGGATGACATTCTCCAACACAGGTGCCCCATGTGCTGTTACCTCTTTCCAGCCCTGCCCCCCAGAGCCCAGCGCCCTCTCCTGAGGGGACCTTGACGAGCCCGGCCCCAGTGACCCCAGCTGCTGCTGTCCCCGAAGCACCCTCCGTGACCCCCACCACCCCACCGGAGGATGAGGATCCAGCCCTGTCCCCACACCTCCTGCTCCCCGACAGCCTCAGCCAGCTGGAAGAGTTTGGCCGACAGAGGAAGTGGCACAAGAGGCAGAGCACACACCAGCGGCCACGGCAGTTCAATGACCTCTGGGTCCGCATCGAGGACAGGTGAGCCAGGGAGGGCGGGTCTGCCCAGGAGCTGGGCATCTGCACCCGGGGTAGTATACCTTGAACCCCCCACAGCTGGGCACACTGTCATCAGGCCAGCCCTGCTCTAAGGAAGTGTGGTAGATGGCTTTATACAGCACGTTCACATCTGATTTTTTAGTTTTATTCTCAAAACAAAAGCAATTCAACAACAAGTACAATTCTTTGCCTCTTAAAGGTGAGTAAATAGAAGCTTTCTTCAGGCGCAGTGCACAAATCTGCTTTGCACTCAGCTGTCCTGGGACACACCTGTACAAACAGGGCGCCATTTGTCCATGGACTGGAGGTAAAACTAGGAGAAAATGGAACAAACTGGCTAAACCAAAAGGCATGAGCTCCCTGTGCCTAGAAGGTGTGAGTAGCCGACACCCTGGCAGGGAGGCTGCAAAGGGGACTGTGCTCTGAGAGAGACGGGACAGATGGTGATCAATGCCCTTGAAGCTGTGGGCTCTGTCTTAGGAGCGGATGGGGGATTTGTGATAAACCTTGTTGAAAATGGGCAGATACAGGAAATCATCCTAATGCATGGAGACCCTTCTGTCATCTTCCTATATGCCCCTCCTGCCACCTCTACCATCCACCTCAGCTTGCCTGTCACCAAAGTCCTGCTGTGACCAGGATGCTGTCTTCCAACCTCTGCCTGCAATCTCAGTACAGATGAGTTTCCCTAGATTCCACTTTTTGGCAGGAATCTCCATATTTAGTGAACAGTGTTGCTAGAGCACAGGGAATGTCCCCGGGAGGGACCATCAGTGATGGGGTAGAGTCCTAACCACTTCAGTGGCCCAGCCCTGAATATGCCATGCTCAGCAGTCATAGACTCTCCATCTCAGAGTCTCTATCAGAGGGAGCCTCAGACTCTCCATCTGGACCCTAGAGATCACCATCCAGGATTTTCCCCCGAAACCCTAGAGAGAATCACCTTGGCTACTTGTTAAATAAACAGATTATCAGGTCCCACCACAGACCTCATGTATCAGAATGTGCAGGACAAGGGCCTGGGAATCTGTATGTTACGTGTACACCTAGAGATTCTTCTGAGTAGCTTTGGGAAACCCTGACTAAATTCAGCATTATAGATGGTGAACCAAGGCCTGAGTCGGAGAGGGTTTGACCAGGGTTACCACAAGGACTCAAGGGCTGCCTCTTGTACTTTGCACTTCATGAATCTCCTACAGCCAGGTGTCAGAGCCATTGACAAAATGTTGACATGGTCCATCCCATTATCATAAACTGTGGGGTACACACTGTCTTTAAAAGACTTCTAGCAAATAAGAGTCAAGCCCATTGATCCTTTGGGCATTGGTTTCAGAGAACCTTAGGTTACTGAGAAATGTACTTCTGCAGAACCTGGCCCTGTGTATTAGTCTGTTCTCACGCTGCTAATAAAGACATACCTGAGACTGGGTAATTTATAAAGAAAAGAGGTTTAATTGACTCACAGTTCCATATGGCTGAGGAAGCCTCACGATTGTGGCAGAAGGCAAGGAGGAGCAAAGCCACATCTTCCATGGCAGCAGGCAAAGAGAGAGAATGAGAACCAAGCAAAAGGGGTTATAAAACCTTCAAATCTCGTGAGACTTATTCACCACCACGAGAATAGTATGGGGGAAACCGCCCCCATGATTCAATTATCTCCCACCAGGTCCCTCCCACAACACGTGGGAATTATGGGAGTTACAATTCAAGGTGAGATTTGGGTGGAGACACAGCCTAACCATATCACCCTGCCTGCCTAAGGCAGAGGCATTACTGTGGCTATATTGGCTATGACACAGTCGGGTCGCGTGCCCAGCATGGGCCGCCCCCTTCTAATCGGGAGTGAGAGCATAGAGTTACTGAGAGCCACTTTAATCAGTGGCAGGGAGGGCTTGCAGGCTGCCAAGGAGGCTTGAGGCAAGTGAAGGAGCTGGCAGCCCATTAAGAGTTCCAGTTAGGCTGGTCACTCAGAGCCCTGATCAACACACCAGGGTGATCAGGAGACCTGGCCAGTGATGGGGCCAGCCCATGGGGTGACAGGAAGCTGGGCTGTCAGCTCCAGCAATGGACCTCCAGCCCCTAACCACGTCTGAAAGGTAAATTTCAGCAAATGACTCCAAACAGCTTCCTTCTCACAATACATAGCTCTGAAACACAAAGCCTGATTTCAGGAGAAGAAAACAGCTTTTCTTTGGCAAGAAGGGAGCCCCTTCTCTATCCCTACAGGTAAATTGCAGTTGGCTAACTTTCTTCCATCTGGTTGGGTTGGAGAAGAAAGTTTCCACCACCGCCTGGCAGCCTGTTTGTTGAAATTTCTTGCCGCTTCTAGGGGAGCAGGCCCTGAGTTCCCTGAGAGACCCAGGGGCAGGGCACAGCCTCCGTTGCTCCCAGGGGACTCACCCTCCTGCAGTCCCCAAGTTTCCAATTTTCTAAGAGAAGCAGATGAGAGCTTTCTGGGGGTGACCTGGGGCCCATTGGTAGTCCTTCTAACAAAACCATTTTTGGGGGAGCTTTTACTCCCATTTCTCGTTTTTCTCCTCCGAAACCCCATTGGAGCCATCCCCTCCTCCCCATCACCTCTCCCAGCTCATCTTGCCCCTGTCATACTGGCCCCGAGTGCCCTCCCGCATGGCTGCTCCCCAGCCTGGGGTCCTACAGTGTCCCCCACTCCGCTGCTCAGCCCAGATGCAGCGCCTTCACCTTCTTGCCGCCTCAGCCACCACCCTGCTTCCTTGGGGCCTGCCGGCCCTGTCCTCACCAGGCTGCGTGCCACCCGAGGTGCCCCGTCCCACCTCCACACCTTTGTCTTGTTCCTCTCTCGCTTGGAGTGGGGTACCAGTGGATATCTGTCAAGCTTCCCTGCTGTGCCAGATACCTGCCTCATTCTGTCCCTTTTTCTGTCAAGAATTGTGGAAGATAGGCCTATTTTATACTGGAGGAAGCAGACTCAGCAGGTTAGGTAACTTGCCTAAAGCCAGGCAGAGAGTCAGGCAGACCTGCCTGACGCTGAGGATCGCTGTCATCACCCAGCACCATGTGGTTGCCATCCCCCCATTCCCCGGCCCAGCTAAGCCCTCCCTTCCTCCACGCAGTGCCGGTGGGTGCCCCTGTCCTGACACAGTAGCACAGACTGTGAGTCCTCACTCATACTCTACGCCAGGAGGCCATGAGGATCAGATCTGGGTTGGGCTGGGAGCGAGTGTGAGAAGGAGGGAGTGAGCCAGGGATGCACCTGGAGCGCCTGTCCTGGATACCACCTGGAACAGGCTGGCCTCCCCCTTGCCCCTCATTACCTGAGATGTAAACACACACTGGAGGAAGTTTAGAGAAGCAGTAGCCCATGGCAGGATGATTTATGGGGACCCAATGGAAAGGGCAGATGAAGCGAGTGTCCGCAGATGGCTGCGCAGTGGCACAATATTCTTGAGGAACCCCCACCTCTGAGAGCCAGACTTGGGGGAAGGGCAGGGCTGTGACCAGGGTGCTCTAAAACAAGGCAGAGGTCATTTCTGTGCAGTGTGGGACCCGCGGCACTCTTTCAGTTTCTCCTTTTGTGCAGTTAGGGCCTTGATGGGTCTTTGGAGGTCATGCCAGCTCTTATTCTCCAAGTCCACAGCTGATATGGGAGAGGAAGGAGAGTTTCATAAATAGGGAACAGAATGTCTGGGCCATCTAGATTGGAAGTCCTTGGGCAAGTCATACTGGCCAGGTGTAGACAAGAGACTACTTTCCCAGTGCCAGGCATGGCCCAAATCAGGGCACAGAGGTGGGTGACAAGACAGATGCAGAGCCTTGGTGGGTTCAACCATGCAGGGGGAGGGGTGCAGGACACATGTGCCCCAGGGTGATTGCCTTCTGGGTCTCGGCTTCCCCTGAGGTTTGAGCAGACGGCTAGAGCTCTCAAAGAGGGGAAGAGACATAGTGTCTCCCTCCTGCCCCAGATTCTCCAGCTCCAGTTCCCCATAGCACAGCCAGGCCTCCTTCTGGGATGGTTCGAGATGGGCGGAGTCTCCAGGCGAGGCCAGGACCCCATCAGATTAGAGGTAGAAGATGCCCCCAGGAGAATGGGAAGCAGGCTCATCCAATGAGTGAAAACAGACAAATTCAGGCAGAATGGGGTTCAAATCCAGTCCCCCCTTTTACTTGCTTTGAGGCTTAAGAGATTATGTGAGATGATGCTTGTAAACCTTAAGCTGGCATCAGACCACCAGTAACACTCGGTAACAGTTGCAGCTCGTATTGACACCTGTGACTTTCAGAGTCTCTGGTCTGAGATGACCCAGCCCCCGACCCTAGCAGAAAGGGCCTTCGGCCTGAACACTTAAATGAACCACTGGGTGGGTGCTGTGAACTTCTCCCAGTTTAACAGGAACATGTTGGGCACATGTTGCATTTAGTGCTAGTGAGGGACAGGAACAGGAAAAGTCTCGGGTCACGGTTAGGGACAGATGGCTCCCAGTGTGATGCCACTGAAGAGCCCGGAGCCACAGTCCGGAGACCCTGCCTCAACTCTCCTGAGTGATCTTGGTAAGTCCCGCTTCCTCTCTGGGCCCAGTTTCCCATCTGAGGGACAGATAGGCCCTTCCAGCTATGGTCTGCTATGAAGCTATTAGAAAACAAGCCTGTCTGCCCTGTGCCCAAGATGGAATCGGTCAGTCATGGCCCAGTGAGGCTGAGCAAAGCATGAAGGCGTTCCCAGCACAGAAGACCGTGTGGACAAAGGTGTGGAGGCGGGAGGAACCCTAGATATCCCGAAGTCCTAGATCTCCAGAGCTGCAGGCAAACCAGTTGCTTTGGATCTCTCACCCGACCTGCTTGGCCCAGAGAGGCTGAGGCCCAGACTGGCATCACGACAGGGTCTCCACTAAGTGAGCACAGTGAGATCTCTATCCCCAGGCAGAGGGCCACCTGTGACCCAGGCCCTGTGTGCCCCAAATCCGGTCTTCTCTGTGTCTCCTTGAAGCTCTCTAAGGAGGTCAGTCAGGGCAGAGCCCACCAGCCCCTTGTACTGGCAAGAAGTCTCGGGATGCCCAGAACCTAGCCTAGGATGGCTCTCAGAACCCTCTAGTGCCAAGATCCGCCCCTGCTCCAGGGAGCCCCTTGGAGGTGCCTCATGGTCAGACAACTGACAGTGTCTCAGACACACACAGCCTTGCTTTCTGCCTTGGGCTTGTGATTTCTGCCTTGGGCTTCTACCTAAGATCTCGCTCTGGCTTCTGCTGCTAGGAAACATTTTAAAGTCCATGGGTCTGTTCCTGTTCATTGTGTTGATGGGGAAACTGAGCTCTAGAGGATGGCACCTGCCCAAAGTCACATAGCAAGCCAGGAACGCACTACAGGCTAGAGCCGGGCTTCTGCCTTCTACCCAAGCAGAGGGCCTCTTCCCCACTTTGGGGTCCCTGTTGACTCAGAGCCGACGCGGCCTCTTGGTGCCAGCCCTCTGCGGAGCCTGGGAACACTTGCAGTGTTTGGTTTGGCTTCGAGGCCACTTTGCCATGAGACAGTTTCCCCCATTGTGAGCCTAGGAAGGGGTGGGGATCTGGACTGGGGGACTGAGCTTTGTGAGCAGAGTCAGGCCCAGGAGGTGGGCTAGGGGTATTTGGAGGGGCTTGTCCTCCACCCCCCACCAGTCCTACCCCATTTCTCTGGGACTCCTTCCAAGCAATAAAAAGCCCGCTCAGGCTCCAAGCGGGAGTTTTCATCTTTGGTTTTCAAAGTGTGAAAGAAAATGCCTTTGGGCGCCTTGTGAGACATAGTATTCATAACTCCTACTTGGTCTCGCCTTCTGATGGTGGGGGCCTCAGCTCTGGGCACCTCAAGGGGCACACCAGTCCGCTCTCCTGAAGCCAGCCCACCAAACCAACAGTTCCTCAGGCCAAAAAGCTGGGGCAGCAGCTAGGAGGACGTCTTTATGGACTTCTTGTGTTTTGTGTGTGGGTTTCTTTTTTTTAATTTGGTTTTATTTTCATTAGAAAAGAAAGGGAGGCAAGAGGCTGAGGGAATGATCCCTGCCCAGCACAAACACTAATCCCCTCCAGGGGCTGAGGCCAGATGAGGCCTCAGTGTCCCCACCTAGCAAGCCTCCATCTGCGGGTTTGAGAGATCTCAGCCAGAAGCACCCACGCTTTGCTCACGGGCTCTGCATCAGTGGTTTGCTCGTCTGTTCAGTCAGGGGCAGCTCCTTGGCCTGGCTCAGGCTGGGGAGACACTGTCCCATGCACATCCTGTCTCTTGCAAGAAATCTGAAGTCCTTCAAGCTCAGTTTCCACACCTTAGAAAGGGGAATAATAACAACATAACACGTGTATAGCACCAAGCAATGTCTGCCAGCACACTGTAAGTGCTCTATAAGTGGAAGGTGTTATTATTAGGAGAGACACAGACACAAAAATTTTAATAATGATGCTAAAAATAGCCAACCTCATCTAGCACTTCTTGTGTGCCAGGCACTGTTCAAAGCACATTACGTATAGAAACCTAGGCAAACCACGTATAATAAATGGAGAACTACAACACAGAGAGGTCGATGAGAAATGTACAAGGTTTAGGGGAAGCCTTAACTGCCCCAAGTGGCATTGAGGTATGGAAGGCAGATCAAAGAAGGCCTCCAGGGGAAGGGCATTGAGTCTGGCCTTAAAGGTGAGTATGAAAATGGCAGCAAGACTGTAGGGGTGATGGAAGAGGTGGTGTGCGTTGAGAGAACCATGAAAGGGGAGAGCAGTCAGGCCAGATCAGGCTGGCATGGGGTGGGAGGGCACAACATGCTCGATTCTATGGGTGAGTAAGGGGCATTGGAAGCCAGGTGGCCCTCCCCCCCATTCTACACACACACACTCTACTCAGAAACACCATCCCTGCATCCTCTGGGTGGGACAAGAGTTTGCTCCCTCCCCTTCTGATAGCTCCTTGGAGTCTCTCTAAAGACAGAAGATCATGGCACATCACACCGGATGGAAAGGAACTTTATGCAGGCTGCAGGGGGTACTGAAGGCCAGAACATCACCAGAAGAGAGTAGAGGGAGAGAGGGATGGGGCAGTGAATGAGGACCCCTCTCTTTAGTGACATACATCAAGCCAGGACAGAGTGCCCAGAGGCGGTTTGGACACCTGTTCCCAAACCAAGAGCCCAAGTGGTGTCAGGGTGTGCTTGGTGGCCCCAGGTTCCCTCCCCTGCCTACCCAGCCTAGCTGAGGCTGAGCCAGGGCTGTGTGAGAGGCGTCCAGCCAGGACAGTGGCCTGGATTGAGTTCTGGTGGTGATGATTACAGGCTCTCACCACTGTGATTCTGGCCAGTTGTTAGGACCTCATGGCCCAGCCCAAGGAAATGCAGCCCAGGGTGACCCGGGGCAGCCTGTCGAGGACGGGGCAAGCAGTGGGAAGCATGGCAGGAAGGTACTCACACTGCAGACCCCATGAAGCCCGCCCTGCCCTGTTTCTACAGCCTACCCTCTAGGTTGGCCAGCCCAAAGGGAAGGGCAAGCTTCTTGTCCACCCATCTGCTAGTGAGCACCTATTGTGTGCCCAGTCCAGATCCTGGCCCTGCTTTGTGTCCTGGAGGAAAGCCACTTAACCCCTTTGTGCCTCAGTTTCTTCCTAAGTACAACGGGGACAACAGTCATCCTGCCTCCCAGTGTTGTCATGAGGTCTAAAGGTTAAGGAGTGGCCAGCACTTCACACACAGCCTGATGCAGGGGGCAGGGCTCTCTACATTCTTTTCTCACTGGCCAGGAGTGCCTTCCCCCATGCTCGAACTAAATTCGCTCTGCCTTCCAGGCTGACTGTGGCCTTCCCTCTTTCGGGAGGCCCTCCTGGCCTTCCCTTCATCTACCCACTGCCCCCCGGTGCTCCCCTCTGGGTGGGGGCTTGTGGGTTCCTCTGTCTGCATCTGCATCTCTGTCTGCCTCCTGCCTGCCCAGGGTTCCCTGAGGATAGGCATGACCATTGCTTCTGGGCTCAGCCTGTTTCTCTGTTCCAGAGCCTGTCCCTCTCGTCCACAGGTCTCCTGTCAGACTCTTGACCTCTCTGCTAGGCCTCTGTAGTTGTACAGTCCCTCCTCAGTCCCTTTGTTAGCCTCTGTGTCTCTCTGCCTGTCCATTTCCTATGTGTCTCTTTCCTGGACCTGAGCCAGTAACCTGGCCCTGAGTCCCCCTGCCCTCCCCCTCCAGCTTCCCAAGGCCACCACATGCTGGGCTCAGGTCAGCCTCCAGTTGGCTCCTGCCCTGACTTTCCTTCCATCTCTCTCTGTCTGTCACATGGGCTTTCTTGAGCCGAGAATCTCACCTGTTATCTCCGAAACTGGATTCTGTTTTTGTAAATTCGTGAAGGACTTAGTGAAATTAGTGAAGCACCTTTCACTAAACACATCCTGCAGCTGTGCAAAGTAAAGACTGACCCAGAGCTCCTGCCTCATGGCGTCCCACTCCCACTTTCCTCCCGGACCTGACCACCAGGTAGCCCGCCCAGCCACCACACAGCCTCTCTGAGCTTCAGTTTTCTCATTCATGGAAAGGGAGCAATGAGACCTATTTTGAAGGCTTGTTATGAGGACCAAAAACATTGCTCGTAAAGTGCTGAGCTCATGATGGATGCTCAACAAGCGGTAGTTACGATGAGGGCAGGGGACGCAGTGCGGTTGCTTGTCTTGTTTTCTGCATGTTTTGGCGGTCTGCAAGGGGAGAACAGCCAGCAGGCAAGGCACCTGTTACCTCGATGGCTGATCACTCCATGGGACCCCAGATCTATCTCCCCAAAACACTACTCTTTCTGCCTGGGACCCATTCTCTCAAGTGGTGACATCTGAGTGACTGAGAGGTGACAATCTGTGGCTGCCAGGGCCTGGCCCATCCCCCGGAGCCTGGCATAGGGGGTCCATGTGGACTCAGGAGCTCAGCCAGGCTGGTTGTGTGGCTCTGGGCTGCCCAGTTTGCCTGCTCAAGCTCCTTGTTCCCTTCTCCATTGTATGAGGCAAAAAAGACCTGAAAAAGTCAGATCTGAGCTTCTACCCAGGATGAGACTGCCAACGGTCACTCTGCCATGTGCTTCCTCCTTTCCAGCACCACCGCCTCGCCGCCCCCGCTGCCCCTGCAGCCCACCCACAGCTCCGGGACGGCCAAGCCCCCCTTCCAGCCCTCAGACCTGCTACAACAGCAGGACCTGCCAGGGCCCGCCAGCAGCTCGGCACCCACCCTGGGCCTCCTCCCCGCCGTTGCCACCACCATCGCTGCCCGCTTCCTGCTGCACAGCCTTGGGCCCTCTTGACCTCGGCCACCCCAAGTGGAGAAGCCAGAGAAATGACACAGGGGTCTTCGGCCACACCCCACCGCTCCTGCCACCACCTGCAGGGGTGCCCAACACCTCGAGGGCAGTCCAGACGGGATCGGCTAGACACTAGAGCTTTACTGTACCCAAGTTACATCTTCTTTTTTGTAGAAGGATCTTAATTTCCCATAGTGCTATGGGGCTCTTTTGTAAAATACGTGTCCATATTAAAAAGGAGAAATGTATTTATTCTACTGATAAAACTATTTTTATGTGGCCTATGTCATAACCCCCTAGCCCTAGTGTCGGCCCGGGAGGGGAACCCGAGACATCAGTGACCTCCTGTGGACTGTGGCTCTGGACTGGCTTGCTCTTGGATCACCAAAGCCTCCTGGGTCTGGGTTTGGCTCCTCCTACTGTGGGGCCCTCAGCGGGAGGGGCAGGCAGACAGGCTTAGCTTTTGTGAAGCTGGATTTGGGAGGCAGAGGTGTGAACGTTGGCCATCCTCCCTCCGCTGGATGCACCCGCGACCTGGGAAGATAATTTAGGAAAGAGAATGCTGCTATTTTGAAACCCCGAGTGTCTGTGAACTGGCCTTCCAGAGCTCTTGGTAAGTGTTTTCAACCAAAGCGCTGGGATGGGGTGGGGGGTGGGATGCTGGTGCTGAGGAAAGCAGTCCCCACACCACAGAACACATGAATAAACTGAGATCCAGAGGGAACCAGGTGGGTAGCCCAAAGTCACAAGGCAAGTGGGAGAGCGAGGACATAAATCCGGACTTCTCTCTTCTGGTGTCATGAATCTAGCTTGGGTTAAAGGACAGGCTGTTGAAGTCCTGGCTAAATGGACTGAGCTGGGCCGAGGGACTGGAGTGGGCACAGGAGGGCAGTTTTAGAGACGGGGCTTAGGCCTCACATGATGTTAATAGTAATGAGAGCTGCCATTTTTCCAAAGCCTGCAGTGTGGCAAGCACTTTGCACACTTGCTTCACTGATCCTCATGCTAGTTCCGTGAGATGTTACTATCCCCATTTCACAGATGAGGAAACAGCCCCCCAAAGAGGTGAAGGGACTTGCTGAAGATCCGCCAGCCAGGATGTGGCCCCAGATCAGTGTGATGCAAAACAATTCCTGCCTCCTGCTCCCTGTTCTGCCATGTTCTGTCTGCCAGGGAAGCTCCAAGGGAGGCAGATCTCACCCAAACTAGGGCCAGCACAAGCTTTCACTCCACCAAGAGACCTTTTGGCTGGCTGCGTATGTTGGCCCCTCTGGCCAAAGGGCTCTGGCAACAGCATGTGCCACGTGTTGCATGTCCTGACTCGCCAGATCTTGGAGCCCATGAGAAGCTTTCCTGGCAAATCAAAGGCTGAGAGACGGGCACAGCTGTGGGGCACCTGGGGAGGCACAGCAGCCAAGTGGGGAGGCAAGTGACAGGGACTCCGAGAGACTAGCCCCTCTGCTCCTCAAGGTGGTGGCTGAGGAGACAGAGGACCCAGGTGGGCTAACTCCCAGGCCTGAAACCCCGCAGAGCAGGTGCCTCAGTAACTACAGAGTCCTGGAACCTGACAGCAGAAAGGACCCTTCGCTTGATGGATAATAGTAACAGTGGGAGGAATAATAAGGCCCACGGAGGGGAGACACGTCTCCAAGACTGCACAGCCTAGTGGGCCTGCTGACTCCCAGCCCCATGCACCCCAGCTTTACAGCTTTGCGGGTTTCCCTGGCAGGCTTGATGCAGCTGATTGGCCCCAGTGCCATCTTTCCCAGCTTGGCAGCTGTCTCCCTTCTGAGATGGCACAGTTCTGGGCAGCTCATGGGATGGTCAGGAGTCCCACGGGCATCTTGGCAGGCAGCTGAATTCTTTACAGCTCAGCCCTGATGGACGTGTTTGAGCTTGAGACCTGGCAGGAGACTGGAGGTCTGTCTCAGAGGGCCCAGCCAGCCCTGTGGGCACCATGCTGTAAACTGAACTTGACCTCAGTCCAGGCTGGAGTTGGTTTATCCTTGGCAAAAATGCGACTTCCTATTTCTGAGCGGGAAGGGACTTAGCTGACTTATAAAGCAGGCTCAGAAGTTGGACATCAAACGGATCGTGCAGAGCACTATTTGGATGAGATAAGTGTAAAGGAATTAGAAACACACAGGCCAGATTCCTCTCTGTTTGGGGCAGAGTATGGCATGAGATGTATTGAGATGGAGCTTGAGGTTAATTAAAGATGAAGCATTTGGGTAAACAGTCCAGGCAGCTGACCGTGTGCCCAGATCTGTGCCAGGCACTGGGCCAAGAAGGTAAATTAATGCAGCGTGTAATTATTGAGCACACGCAATGCCAGGCTCTGTATTGGAGCTGAATCTAACCACTGTCCTTGGCCCAGAGGAACTCATTATCAAGATGGGACAAGCAGCACAATGCTAGGTTACGTCGTCCTGGCCCCTAACTTCAGGAAGATTCAGCCCTAGTCTTTCCCACATCCCTCCTCTGGGCAGATTAGGGGATCCTAAAATCTCCCTTACCCTAATTCAAGTGTTTAAAGAAAGATGGCTGGACTAACTGATGGAGTAGACATGTACCTATAGGAGAGCAAGAGCCAATATGGTCAGACATCTGGTGCCAAAGTTCACTGATCCCTGAGGACCACCAGTTGGCCAGGGTCTAAAATGAACTAAACTTACTGACTTATGACCCAAAAGACTTGAGACACATATGCAGGAATCTGCATGGCTAGGGTACTTGAATTCTCTCATCCTAGGCCAGAGCACCACCATTCCATAAGCAGCCACCCACACCTTTGGCACGATCTATCCACCACTTACTGACATTTCTTCAAGAAATGTTCTTCGTGCCTAGCCTCGTAAAATGCTCCTGCTCCTCTGAGAACTTTGTGTGCACTTCTTAGACTTTTCTGTTTGACCATGAGGTGGGCAGGAAAGATGAAAGGCCTGAGACCCAGCAGGCGAAGTGATTTGCTTAAGGTGGAGCAGCATGTTAGTGTGGCCCTGGGTCCTCTATCTCTCGTGAAAGCTGACTGTGTGATGAAGGGCTCTCTGGGGCATGTCGGAATGGCCATGTCCCCAGGTCTTCCTTCAGTGCTGGGTCTGATGCGCCAGCAGCCAGATGAAGACAGGGAGAGCCCCGTCATCCACAGTGGAGGGAGAAGAATCAGGCTGCCAGGGAGCTGCAAAGGGGTGCCGAGGGCACCTCCAGGCCTGAGAGTCAAAGATCTGGGATCTAGGAAGCATGGAACCTTGTGCTGGCTATGAGCAAATTTGTCCCTGCATTGAAAGATCCTAAGCATATTTCCTTCATGCTAAACACTGTGTTACCTACAACTTCCTGGCCTCAGCTAGACCTGGGCAAGCCTAGGTGCTCAGGCCCCTTGTCCCACTTGCCTAATCTCCAGCCCAGTGCCATTGTCACAGTGGATCCCAAAGAGGAGGGAAAGTCCTTCTACCAAAAGGAAAGTCTATTAAAAATGCTGTGAAGGACAAGAGAAATTCTCCCAGGGAATTGCAGCTTTGATGGCATCCTGTGTGGCAGACAACAGAATTGGGACTGGGGTGATAGCTTTTCAGTGACTGTGAGATAAGAACCAAAGTCCTCAGCCTGACCCATGAAGGGTCCTCTAGACCCTTCATGACCCAACCCTGCTGACCTTGTCAGCCATGTCTCTCATGTGTCTTACCCTGTGCCTGGCCAGCGTGCTGTGCAGTCATCTCTAGAATAGACAGGATGTTTCACACGTGCTGCTGCCTACCCCTGGAAACTCCCTTCTCTCCCCTGTAACTGCTCATCCATTGAGGAGCAACACAGATAGCACCTCCTCCAGGAAGCCCCCTCTGATTCCTCTGTGCTTTCTTAGCATCTATCATAATACCCACTGCCCAGTGTTGTGACTATCTAGTTGTGTATCTGCTCCTCTCTTGGACTGTGAGCAGCTTAATGTCAGAGGTCATGTGATTTTGTTTTTGTATCCTCATCTGACACGAAGATGGTGCTCAACAGATGTGTAGACAGAGAAAGAGGAAGGGAAGGAAGCGGAAAGAAGGGGAGGAAGAAAGGAATGAAGGCAGGAAAGAAGGAGAGAGGCAGACCTTAGCTCCGCCAGTGGAATAATTTCCAGCAAACCAAAGCTGTCCGGGGATGGCCCGGAGCCCCCGAGGGTGGCGAGTTTCCCATCAGGAGAAGTGTTTGAGCAGGGGCAGTGTGCCCACTGGCTGAAGATGTGGCAGGAGAGTTGACGTCTTGGTGAGGGCCTGGTGTAGATGACACTGAGGGTCCCTCCTGGCTCTGCAATGCTCAGGTTCTGTGAACATTGTTATTTTTCCAGAAATTCATCTGAGCAGCCAAAAAAATCACCCCGCTGGCTGTCTAAACCAGTAAGGTTCAGGAATAAGTCCAGCCTCCCCACTCCACCCACAACCACCACCACCCTTCACAGTGCCCCCTTCAACAACCCAGCTGGGCTTGCCTGCTGCCCTTGGGCAGGGGAACTTCTGAAAGGTGGGGGAGGACTGGACTGGAACCCAGGCCCGCAGCTGGCCATCGCAGAGCTCCTTCCCTCTCTGCCCCCTTCCTTGACCCCAGGGGAGGAAAGAAAGGGTTTACGAGAACTGATTGACCCCCCCTGGCCCTTTCCAGGGAGCATCAGCTATCCTCATCCTTTCTCCAGGTGGGAGCTGGGCTCTTCCTTTCCGGAAATACTCCAGATACCCCTTCACTTTGCTGGATGACCTTGGGCAAGTTCCTGTCCCTCTCTGAGCCTTCACTTCTTCGTCTGTCAAATGAAGACCTTGTTTCCTGCCCGGGCGGTTCTGGGACTGGAGGGCAGGGGTGACGTGGACAATCTTGGGCCTCCGTGGAGATGAGGTGCTTGGCTTTCTTCCCAGGACCCACAGGCTGCCGTGGGATTGAAAGCATGTGGAGGCGGGAAAGGTGACAGAGTAGCATGCCTCGAAGGCCCCCTTCATCCCAGTCCTGCTGTGGGGAAAGTGGGCTTTGAACGGGATCCAAGTCTAAGATGTTTCCGGTGAGCTGCCAGGGACAAAGGGCTCTCAGACATCTTGGGTCCCCAGTGGCTGGGGTGGGCAGGGGCTGATTCAGCCAAAGGAGGCATTAGCCCAGAACAGAGGAAGCCAGAGCCCCTGCCCCATTCCTGAGCCTCACAGAGCTTGTCCCCAGCTTGATTCACTGTGCAACACAGGCTTCAGATTCATGTATTTGAAAGGTATGCATGATGTTGTTCTCTTATCACCTCTGCCCCTCA